GTGGCATCTCAATTCCATGATTGCAGGTTCCAGTGCAACTGCTGAATGCCACTGCAGGTGGCCTTTGTGCTGGGCATGTTTGTTGCAAATATTACCTTTGAGCAGGGCATCAATAAAATTCATTTTTACCTGTCCCCTGTGTCATTTCAGTGATTTGTGTGGGGTTTACAAGATGCACAGTTGGTATTCAAGGATAAAGGTAAATCCTGTCTCCTGAACCCTGAGTAGTGGGTGCCATAGGGAGGTGAATATGGTTATGCAATGGAAATTACAAGCCTGAGGATACTTTTCTTTCTGCAAAAACTGAACTTGTTTTCTTAAAATAATTCTTAATGCTTCCAGAAGCAATGCTGAACTCTTCCTAGAACTTCTGTGAAACTATGTCTTTAGAAATGTAGATGAACTGCTTTTGTTTATTAGGTAGGGATTTTAGTAGCAGGCTAAAGGCAGTGCTTTAATCATGAAGACATAGAAACACCTCCTTACCTTCCTGTTCCTCAAGTACTGATATTGCCCTTTGGCTTTTTTGCTTTGTTTTGTAAAATAACTTTTTCTCGTGCAGAGGTGACTTAATGTTACTCAATTTTGAAGGGTTCTATGTGCATAAGGATGTCTGTCTCATGATAAAATATATAAATATAACTTTATAAATCTTAATCTGAAATGAATGACTGCAAATTCCCATAGCACAGAAGGGAAGAGTAGGAGGTGACTTGAATGAGCTAACTTGGTAGAACTTGATCTAAGGAATTTTGGAGGGAGATGTGAGGTGCAGCTGGCTACTTTAGTTGCAATAAATGCAGATGTTTGCATGTAGATTTGGAGAGTCTGGATGTGGCCTTATCAGCTATCTGAAAGCTGATGTGGTAGAGAGGGACTTGAGGATGTTCACGTTGAGGCAGGGAGGAGAGGGAGAGAATGCACTGAATAAACAAGCAGATAACTGTGTAATACTTTCAAGATTACTCAAATATGCTAGAACTCGGTGCCAGGAACTTTTAAGAAGTGAAATGCAAGATGTTAAAGTAAGTCTGAAGAGCATTAGATCTTGTTACTGAACTGAGATTTGGTAAATCTCCCAGATGAGGAATCTATTACAAAAACGGATGAAGAGGTGTTGTTCCTTTGCAGGCTGGTAGATAGACATAAACCACTCCCTAAAAGATTTAAAGTTGATATTTAGAGTCCTCATTTGAGGAAGTGCTGAGGAGCCTTACCAAATCCCTTGCACATATTTATTTATTGTATAGACTTCTGTTTGATTAAGGGCTGTTCTAGCAGATCATCAGAGAGCTTCCTACAGTTATAAAAGTAAACACATGCTGAGTTTTCCAAAATAGATCAGCTTTCCAGCTAATGTGACTCATACTGAAGCTAAATTCCTTTTGTAGCCTCAATGTCCACTCTTCCCTTTGTAAAAGGGCAGTCACACCTTCTTTTCCTCATTTTAATAATTGAAAAAAAAATCTTTTATTAAGAGGCCTAACTCTTAGTGGCTGTCTAAATACCCCTTAGTATTGCATTACAATTGCCATGCAAGTAAGCATTGTTCAATATTAATTATTGAGATCCTGATTAATTGTCCTGATTCCTGTTAAGGATAAATCCAGCTGAGTATAATTCACCTTGCTCTCTAGTTGTGCATGTAAATCTAGCAGGCCTGAGCCTGCTGTCATTGCACTGGCCAGTTGCTCTGCCCTGTAGATAATAACCAAAGTAGCATGGTATGAGAACAAGTTTGATCCAGATTGGAATGTCTTCCACCTTTACAGCCAAATAAGAAATGACACTTTTATTAACAAATCCATTGATGTATTAAGAAAATTACAGATCTAAAGTGGGTCAATGTAGATTTTTATCTACAAGTTCAGGCTTGTCAGTTCTCACAGTGGTAGAAGTTTTGCTGTTAAACAAGAAGGAAAATAACACCAAAGAACAAAACAAGCACAGAAAACTTAAAATGTCTGTAGAGTGTAAAATATTCTTTCAGGATTGTGTAAATAAATACATAAAAACTTTTTTTTCCTACAAAAGTGACCTTGCAGTGTGTTTATAATATTAGACAAGTGTATTCTTTTTGCTGAGAGACCCAAACAGAAACAGCCAAAGCTAGAGAGGGGTTTGGGGAAAATAATTTAAATGATAACCAATTATTTGTGAAATACGTCCCGTTCTGCCCTAGGCCCGTGTTCTGGAAGACCTATGCCTGTGTGTTTCAGAACACACTACATAGTGTTCAAGTCTTGCCAGTCTGCTCTAGAGAGGCAGAAAATTGTTTCCCAAGGGGATCCACAAGGACATGCGGCCGTGAGACTTTGGAGAGTTTGTTTTTTGTCCTCAGGGTTTGGTGTTGTCCTGAATCCAGTCGAGGTAGCGAGTCACGTTTGTATAAACGCCGGGCATGTCCTTGCGGCCGCAGCCTATTCCCCAGCTGACGATGCCGATCAGATACATGCGCTCGTCCTTCATGCAGACCAGCGGCCCTCCAGAGTCACCCTGCAGAGAAGCAGCAGGTTAGTAAGAATCTCCCTTGTTTCCTTTTCTCACTGGCTCTAAGGATGCTCTAGATGTCATCTACAATGTCCAGATAAATATCATATGTGGTATGCATCAGGAGACAGCAGTTTGCAGTGTTCTTGATAGCAGCACTTTTGTATTCCAGACAGAATCTTTAGTGATCCCCTTCAATATCAGGGAAGAGAACCAAAATTATCACTTTCCAACTGCCTGGTGCTCTGGTGTTAGAAAATTTAGATGAGACGTTAGGAGCAAACTGAGAAATATCCTTGTTTAAACTCTAAAGGTCCAGAATACTTCTTATTGCTGTGAGTAATACGCAAGTATAATTATTAAAGAGCTGTTGAAACTGGAAAAATGTTGATCTTTGCTTTAGGTGTGACAGTAGAATGTGTGCCCTCCTGTTTCTCATGTCACAGCTTGTTGAGTTCTTTGCTTTTCAATACAGCAGCACCCCTTTCCTCTTACAGGATCTCATGCTGTATGTTTTATGTGCTCACTAAGAGAGAATATTAGGAAACCCTGATGAGGTGGAGTTTCCTACTTGGTTTTGTGGCATTTCCTATATTTGAGATTTTTGATCTGTATTGTCCTGGATTGTTTTGGTCAAGTGTGCCCTGTTTTCCCAGCTACAGGGGGTGGAAAGAGGAAAAAAAAATCAGAGAGAAGCCATCAATGCTATTTTGTTAAACAGAAGTCTACTGGAACTTGCGTGTAGCCTATCATTTGGCTTCGTTAATTTTATTTCTGAGTCTTTTTTGCTTGATTAGCTTGACCTGTCAAGTCTAGAATTGGAAATAAAAGGCAAACGGAATTGGGTTCACCTTGCAGGCATCATCAAGGTTCCTCGTGTCTCCGGCGCACAACATGTTCTCTGTAACTGTCCGGTTGTCCAGATGCTGCGTTGTGCACCGCCTGGCTGGAAACAGTCTGACGTGACCCTCCTTCAAATGCTCTGAGTAAAAGGGAGAAACTGGAAGGGACATTAATATACGTTTTGAATTTTGCAGTTCAGCTTCCGTTTTCCTGTTGATGGGTTCGGGGAGAGGACACACGAGTAGCAGGGTGGGGATTGGGAGAAAGATAACTCCTATTTCCTTTCCAAAGGGTCTTTTTAATCCATGGGTGTTCTGCTTTGTTACTTGAGAAGAACTTGAAATCCAGTTGAAAGAGCATTGCTTCTTTAAATTAGCTACACGGTCAAAACTGCACGAGCTTAACTGTTCGAGAGGCTTTTGCAGCCTGTGACTGGTGAGTTTCTCCGAAAGTACTTTGTACAGTTTGAGCAATCTACATAAAATCATGGGAAATGCCTTGGAAAAATCACAAACTGTATGAAAAGAGAGCAGTCTAGTAGAAAGATCTTTCAAAAACAGACGTTCTGTGTATAGCAAAGTCTCGTGGCATAGAAAACGTTGTAACTGGACAGGAATGCAGTCTTGTGCTGCGCTGGACTGAAATGGCTTTTTGGGGGGTGGGGGGAGCTGGCTTTATTTTGCTGTGCAGCTGCACAAAGCTCAAAGTTGGCAGGCTTGTTGTTTTTTTCTGTCTACTTTTGAATTATAATTGCGGCATCCTTCCCCTCTCAGATAGTTTATCATGTGTTCACTGTAAGCACTGCTGAAGATGAGCTACTTCCAACACTTAAAAAACAATTTATGCTATTTTTAATGTTACATCTTTGAGTCTATTCCAAAAACCTGAAAGGAGTTCAACTCATGATTAGGTTTCCATTTTACAGTGGATACTTCACAACTAAAGTCCTTGCATCAAGGATAAAGGAGTTCAACTCATGATTAGGTTTCACTAAAGTCCTTGCATCAAGGAGTTTACAATTTAGAAAACATAAAAATAAATTAGTAGAATGTGGCAGTGTCTTCTTTATATAGGCTGATCTGTGTGTACTTTCAGGTTTTTTCTCCCTATTCATTACTTAGCTTTTTATTAACTCATTTAATAAGCAGCTGGCCTCTATATAATTGGGATGGTTCAGCTTTTCAGCTTCTGACTGACTTCAGCTTTTCTTTGCCAATTACTGCACAGCTTATGAATCTTGTATGATAATACAACAATCTGCAATTGTACAGTGCAGGAAACCCTGGCAAAATGGATTTGCAGCAGAATGACAATACCTAAACATTTGACAGCAAGAATATGCCTCTTATCCAATTCACCTTCTGCAATCTTTCTACTATTGGAGAGTATCGAGGAAACTGTGCTAGCCCACGCAGCTGACAGAACTCAGATAGGTGAAATAACTTACAGAAACAATTGCTCTTGTGGATGTTCCTTTTGCAGTGCTCATTAAGATCCATACCATATTTAAGGGATCATACATTTGGCAACACTAGAGACATAAATTCTTGAGCAGGGAGGTAAACTTGGAGCAAACTGCATCTGTACTTACACTCCTCATCTTTGCCATAACCAGAGATCTCGCATTCGGTCCAGTCGGGCAGCTGCAGTTCTGATGTGGGCAGGCAGGCAGCCCGGACAACGTTCGTCTCAGCAGCGCATTCCTCCGCGTCCGACTTCAACTGCAGCAGAGCTGAAGAGTTAATAAAGAAAACCCCACGATTTAACAACAAGCTTGGGCCAACCACAACCTTCCTAGTCATCAGGTCAGAGGAATTCTTACCAATATCATTGTCAAAGTTTTCGGAGTCAAATTTTGGATGCATGGTGTATCTCTTCACTTCAAATTTTTGTTCGTTCTCCTCAGGAGTTGCTCGAGAATTCCTGCCCAGCACAATCTTCAGCTGACTTGCACTGAAGCTGAAGAACAAAAGAGGTTAGTGTTCTTCTAGCACTGAAGTGAATCCTTCCTTTGAAGATGGTGTTGGAGCTTCACCTCCTCCAATTTAGGACTCTTAGTACAGGACAGATTGACCTCGGGTGTCTTATTAGTCCTCCAAACAGGCAAACTGCATACAGCAATCAGGACAGAGCTCCTCCGTCAGACCCTTCCTGCCCTCGAGTTTCAGACAGCTCTGCATTCTGTACTGGCAGACTTCTGCTTTTTGCAGTTTGCTATTCTGCTGAGGTATCCTAATGCCACCCGCGTAGTTCGCCCAGTAAATGCCTATATACGACATTCATCAGGCTTGATTATCTTTTTACTGTATGACTTAATAAGCCAAATATGTTATCCAAGCCTCAT